GAGGGTCTGGTTGGGGTGCAATGGTGCTCAGGCAGGATGCACGGGGGCTGGCTGGGGTGCAATGGGTCCACGCAGGGTGCAGGGAGGCCAAGCAGGGTGCAGGGGGGGGCTGGTTGGGGTGCAGGGGTGCCGAGGCATGGTGCAAGGAGCTGGTTGGGGTGCAGCGGGGAGCAGATCCCCGACGGTGCGGGCGCGGGGCAGGTTCGACCTGGCGACGCTGCCGGTGGACTTCGTGGAGTGCCTGATGCGGTTCCTGCCGACGGAGGCGGAGGTGAAGGCGCTGCGGCAGTACGAGCGGGAGCGCAAGCCGCTGGAGGAGCTGGCGGACGAGGACCGCTTCATGCTGCAGTTCAGCAAGGTGGAGCGGCTGCCCCAGCGCATGGCCATCATGGCTTTCCTTGGCAACTTCACCGAAAACCTCCAGATGCTGACACCGGTACAGAGTCGGGGAGACGGGGGGATTGCACCCACTGGGGGTGCCTGGACCCTGCACCCCAGCTGAGACCTGCCCCCCCCCCATTCTATCCCCCTGCAGCAGCTCAATGCCATCATCGCGGCCTCGGCCTCCGTCAAGTCCTCGCAGAAGCTGAAGCACATGTTGGAGGCGAGCATGGGGAGGCCAGACAATGTGGGGACAAGCTGGGTTGGAGTCCTGCCCTCCATCTTCACCCATAGCTGGGCAGGTGGGGGTCCCATGGGGGTCTTGCTCCTCCCTGACCCCACCATCCCTGGTGCTTTTCCCCTGCAGATTATCTTGGCGCTGGGCAACTACATGAACAGCAGCAAACGCGGCGCTGTCTACGGCTTCAAACTGCAGAGCCTGGACCTGGTGGGCAACCCCAGACTCCCTGGGACTGCATGGGCTCCCCAGGGTCCCGTGCCACAGCCATGACCTACCCCCAAATTGTTCTGCAGCTCCTGGACACCAAGTCAACGGACAGGAAGATGACGCTGCTGCATTTCATCGCGCTGACAGTGCGGGAGAAGTACCCCGAGCTGGCAACCTTCTGGCAGGAGCTGCACTTTGTGGAGAAGGCGGCCGCAGGTGCCCCCCCATCCCCATGCCCCCAGCTCACCATCCCCCGGGGCTGTGGGTCCCCTGACCCGTCCCTGTGGCCCTGCAGTGTCCCTGGAGAATGTGCTGTTGGACGTGAAGGAGCTGGGCCGGGGGATGGAGTTGCTGCGACGGGAGTGCGGGCTGCACGAGAACAGCGTCCTGCGTTCCTTCCTGGCCGCCAGCGAGGGCAAGCTGGAGCGGCTGCAGAAGGACGCACGGACGGCCGAGGTGAGGGCTGCGGAGCGGCTGTGCCTTGCACGGCCCTTGCACATGCCATGTCATGCACGCCTTGCTTTGCATAGCTCTCTTGCATGCCTTGCTTTGCATGCTCCTCATGCATGCCTTGCTTTGCATGCTCCTCATGCATGCCTTGCTTTGCACGGCTCTTGTCCATGCCTTGCTTTGCACGCTCCTCGTGCACGCCTTGTCACGCACGCCTTACTTTGTACGCTCCTTGTGCACACCTGCCTTGCTTTGCATGCTCCTTGTGCGTGCCTTGCTTTGCACGGCCCTCGTGCACATCTTGCTTTGCGCAGCCCTCGTGCATGCCTTGCTTTACGTGCTCCTCATGCACGCCTGCTCTGCTTTGCATGGCCCTCGTGCACGTCTGTCTTTGCACGCCCCTCGTGCCAGGAGGCCACCAGGAGCTGCGGGACGTGCAGCCCGTCGGTGACCGTCCCGTCCCCCTCCCCAGGACGCCTACAACACGGTGGTGCGGTATTTCGGCGAGAGCCCCAAGACGACTCCCCCGTCCGTCTTCTTCCCGGTTTTTGTCCGGTTCATCCGCTCCTACAAGGTGAGGTGGGGCCAGGAGGGGACACATGGGGGGTCGGTGACACTGGTGCTGGGGTGGGGGCTGGCTCCCACCGCCACCCCCTCGCCCTGGCAGGATGCGGAGCAGGAGAACGAGACGCGGAAGAAGCAGGAGGAGGTGATGCGGGAGAAGCTGCTGGCGCAGGAGGCTAAGAAGCAGGAGAAGGTGAGCGTGGATGGGCGCCTGGGTGGGCTGGGTGGGGGGACACGGAGGAGACACCTGTGTCCCCAACCCGGGACCCCTGCGTCTCCCTCGCAGCGGAACAAGTGGCAGCAGCAGGAGCTGATTGCGGAGCTGCGGCGGCGCCAGGCCAAGGACCATCGCCCTGTCTACGAGGGCAAGGATGGCACCATCGAGGACATCATCACCGGTACGGCCCCCGCCGCTCCCCCCGACCCGGACACCTGGGTCTCGCCTGCGTGCGGGGGCTGACGTCTCCCTGTCCGCTCCCCCCCTGCCCATGCCCCCAACCTGCAGCGCTGAAGAGCGTCCCGTTCACGGCCCGCACCGCCAAGCGGGGCTCGCGCTTCTTCTGCGACCCGTCCCACCACGACGAGTCCAGCTGTTAGCCCCCAGGTACCACCTGCATGCCCGGTCCCCCCGGGACCCCCCCCGCAAGACCCCTGGATCCCCCCTGGCCCCGCATGCCCCCTCCTGCATGCCCTCTCCCCGCATGCCGTCACTCCGGGGTGCCTGGCACCCCCCCTGCCCCAGCCCCTTGGAGCGGAGCAGGGTCCTGGTGTGGGAATTTGGTGTAAGGCTCAGTCCCGGCACAGGATCCTGGCACAGGATCCCAGTGTAAGGCTGGGTCCTGGCACAGGATCCCAGTGCAAGGGCTGGGTGCCAGTACAGGATCCTGGCACAGGATCCCGGTGTAAGGCTGGATCCGGGCACAGGATCCTGGTGCAAGGCTGGATCCGGGCACAGGATTCCAGTGCAACGCTGGGGTTCCAGCACAAGATCTTGGCAAAAGATCCTGGTGCAAGGCTGGGTTCCCAGCATGGGGTCTTTGATGCAGTGCAGGATCCCAGTGCAATACTGGATTCCAGCACAGATCCTACTGCAGGCTGAGTCCCAGCACAGGATCCCGTTGCAAGGCTGGGTCCCAGTAAGGGTCCTGATGCAAGACTGGGTTTCCAGCATGGGGTCTTTGCTGCAGTGTGGGTTCCCAGTGCAATACTGAATCCCAGCATGGGGTCCCAGTGCAAAACTGGATCCCAGAGCAGGGTCCCAGTGCGATACTGGGTTCCAGTCCAGTGCGTGGAGGACTGGCTCCGAGCTGCCTCGGCCCTGGAGGGGGTCACCTGGGACCATCCCCCAGGCCAGGTGTCCCCTGACACTGTCCCTTCTGTCCCACAGCCCGCAGGTGGATCCGCCTGTAGCCGAGCGAGGGTAAGGACCCTGGGTGGTGGAGGGGGGGAGTGCGGAGCTGCAGCAGCTGAGCTGCCTCAGTTTCCCCTCCTCACCCTGCTCTGCCCTGCAGGTGCCAGGGGAGGGCTCTGTCCTCCCCCCGACACTGTGCAAGGGGGGGGAATGTCCTCGTGCCACCGTCCTCGCCCAGGCTCGCAGGCAGTGTCCCTGTCCCCTGCACCTGGGGGGGGCTCACTGCCCGGACCACCCCCCCCAGCCTGCCTGTGGCAGAGGCCAAATCCTGTCCCTGGCTGCGGTAGGGGCCCAGCGCCGGTGGCTGACCCACGGGGTGCCCCCTCCCCATCGGGGTCCCCTCATCCCAGTGGGGGTCACCGCCCCAGAGCCCCCCCCCCGCACGCTCGTCACTTTGACCACTGATGTGAACACTAATTGCCAAAAAAAGGGACCAAAGCCAGGCCGGGGCGGGAAGGGGGGGCAGCAGGATGGTGCCCCCCACCCCAGACC